AAATGAATATCTTGTGAGATATGTCACAAAACATGACGGAAATGAGGCAAATATCACATTTACAAATAATAACCTATATCTTTTAATAGTATTATATTTGACGCTTATACAGGAAAGCTTATATGAGTACTCTCAAATATAATATTTTGAAATAACCCTAATCCCGATACTCTGGATGCTTTCGACCAGTTTCAGCAAAAGAGTGCCGTTGCTGTGACACCGTTTCCTGCGACAAGTAGTAGCGGAAGACAGTCGTCCAATGATGGAAGACACTGTCGTGGGTGTTATCGATGCCACGACCAGTTGCCACGACTGTGATCACCAAAGCAACGACGACGAATATTCACACTAATAGATTTGAAATTGGTAGTATATGTTTGATGTACTAGACATGTTTTAATGTTGTTAAGTTTGTCTTTTTTAGAAATATGACGAATATTCACACTAATAGATTTAAAATTGGTAATATATGTTTGATATACTAGACATGTTTTAATGTTGTTAAGAGTGCTTGACCACGACGTCTGCAAAACTGAGCGACCGCGCACTCCCTGGACTGCAGAGCATGTCGTCATCCGCCTCCTTGTCGCGATCCGTGGGAACGTTATGGTGATGGATAATGCTCTGCACATCGTTCACACACTCGCTGTGCCGCCGCTGGGGCACCCCGTCCGGGCGGGTGGTGGTCACTTGTTTCTTGGCTTTCGTGGCGGAATGTTGGCGCGGCATGTGCACATGCCGCGGTGGAGACAGAGGCGGCGGCGGCGGCGGCGGGGGTTGGTAATGGTGGTGTTGAAACGTCACTGGGGCTCTACTACAAGTAGTAGTAGTACTACTAGTAGTACTAGCTTCCAATGGCCACAACCCGTGGGGGGGTTTGTACTTGGGCTCGTGTGTGCACGTGAGCACACTCCGCAGCAAGTTGTTGGGGTGGAGGGGCACCCCTCCGACGTACCGATTGGACGGCAGCACCAACGCCGCCCCATCCGGATTGAGCGTCGCCCACGCACTCGCAAGGGCCTACATACAGCAAATAATATTTTTTGATATTCAATCTTAAATATAAATTTCCAAACAAATAATATGAAATATATCCTTTAAAAAAAAGCAAAGAATTACGCGGGTGCACACAGGCGGAAAAAACCCTGGGGCGACGACATATTTCCAAACCGATAATATTGGAATAGTATATTAAATATATCATTTAAAAACAAAGAATTACACTGGTGCACACAGGCGGAAAAAACCCTGGGGCGACGACATATTTCCAAACCAATAATATTGGAATAGTATATTAAATATATCATTTAAAAACAAAGAATTACACTGGTGCACACAGGCGGAACAAACCGTGGGGCGATGACATATATGTACGAGCATTTTGTTACCCGACGGAGCTGCATGATGCGAAAGCAGTTGCGGCCGACATTGTTGCCTGGCCGTAGCGGGTCTTCAATGTAAATCGGATCAAACTTGTGTGGATCGTAATCGTATGGCTTGAATGGCGCGGGGCCGGCCCAGTGGTCCCGATGCAAATTCTGACGGCGGGACCCCGGCGAGCTCAGGTTGAGGTTCTCAAACTGGACGTGCTCCATGTGCACATTGTGCCACAACGTGGTCGTGGCGGTGGCGGTCGAGTGCTGCTGCGCCAGTGCATCCCGATCTAAAAAGCACCGAG